CTGGGCTGTCCATCACTGAGCGCCACTGGCTGCTGCTGCACGGTGGTGGAGAAAAGAAGCTGTCCTTGAGCCAGGCGAGAGCATGGGGGTGGGGTTAAAAAAAAGAGTAGATTCAGCATGTACGTTCCCTGCAGCCGGCAGCCATAAATCATGACCTTCTTCAATTTACACAGGGAGCATATTGATGGTTTCCTATCTCCTTCAGTCACTTTCACCAGGTTACGTTGTCGAAGACAACACCACTCTGGATAACCATGAGTGACACTTTACAGCCTCTTCTTGGTGGACTTTCACCTCAGCCGATGAATAAACTTCACATGAGGCAAAGAATAAAATGGAAATGCGGAGGAGATGCTGAGGCACGGGACAAGGTTGCTCCTGCAGCGCGATCGGAGATTTACTGTAAGTTAAGTGAGCATGAGCTCTCCGGCATGCCTGACAACTACTTCGATTTCAAGGGGACTAAACAGGTTTATTGGAAGGGAGGTCACTCTGAGGACAGTGGGTCATCTCCTAATTCTCTTCGACGTGACTGATGCAAAATAATAAACTTCCTTCAAGGCCTACTGAAAGAAGAGCTCGATGGCTTTTTGAGCAGTCTTTGTTAAAAAAAACGTTTATTTCTGACTGGAGTGATAAGCTGTTGACCGAAATGGGACCCTTTCTAGAAGGGGTTTCTTTCAGGGGAAGTAAACTTTTAATAACCACTCAAGCAAATGCTGGTTAGATATGAAACGAAGCAAAGCACAACAGAGCAAAGCAGTAATCTTCTAATGCCTGGTTCACCCTGCAAGATTTTAAAATTGTCAGTTGATTCTCAAAACTGTGGTGTATGGCCATACAGCAAAAGACAACTCGCAGTTTTCAAATGTCAGACAGGAAATCTCACAAAACCTCTTGAGATCAAATGTGAGTTCAGAGGAAATAAACAGAACAGAAGAGGAAGAAGCAATGATGATAGTTTGTGGACCTTTTTTCACACTCAAAAAGACGTCTCCGTCGTCCACCAGACTTTCTGGTGCTCCACTGCAGTTGTTTTGTCTTCCGCATTTTGAATTCCCCTCCGTGTTTCCGTCACCCTGCTTTCTGATTGGCTACATGTCACATTGAACAGCCCGCGTGCTCGTTTTTCCTCGTGGAACACCACACATGCTGGAATATCGAGTCAAGACCATCCAACATGTCGAATATCCCCGATTTGAGATCGGAGCGATCCCAACATCCTTCTGAGCCGACCAGAGTACTCCGAACTAGGGCTGGGTTAAAAAAACCGATTCAATCGATCTGGATCAATTCTCGTTCAAATTTGGGAAGATCGATTCACAAGTCATGAGATCGATTTGTTCCCCATGGGTGTTGAGTGCGATGAAGCTGCACATTTCCGTGTTGTGTGTCACTCCTTGCTCGCCGTAGTTTACAGCCGGTTGATGGTCAGTGCTAATGTTAGCTCCCGACAACAAGTTGTCTGGGGTAAAACAAAAGAAACTAAGGAATCACTAACACTAACAGCTGATTCTCAGCTGAACTTAAAGATAACAGAGGCCATGACAACTTTTGTTTGCAAAGTTTTACATTCAAACGAGGTAGCGGGAAACGAAGCTTCGAACGGCTCGAACCAAAACTACAGAATGTAAACATTTGACTGAAACTGTTCTCCTCAGCATGAATAAATGTGTGAAAGATGACAGTCTAACAAAATCATTTAGTTTTGTTACAAATGTTATATATAAATTTTAGACACATCTTAATGTAATTCACAGTGATGGAATGTTGTAGCTGAAGTACTCTTTTTTCTTTCTTTCTTCTTGTTAATAAGTTTTATTGAACAGAAGCTAACAAGATTACAAATATACAATTATCATACTCTCAAAAGAGTGGACATAAGTATACACTTATATTATCTCACCTCTTCTCCTGTAACCTTATTCCCATCACTTCTTTACGATCAAGAAAATTATTCTTAATTTCTTAAAAAGCTAATGTATCAACAACTCTTTCTCTTGCAATTCCTTTTTAGTTTAAACCCTTTGAAAGTTGAGACAGTTTTGTTTCAAGATTAAACCCCAATTTACAAGTTTGTCTTTAATGTTTATAATTTTACCAATGCACCAAGTTAGGATTAATTTCTACTATTTGCAGAATTAGTTCATTTGAGAATGTCTTTTTTATCAAAGTAAATGTGTTACTGCTTGATATCCTTAACTAATTTAAAAATCAATCAAAGTGAATCGTAAACCGTCCTGAATCATTGTGAATCGTTGTGAATCGTGAATCGAATTGAATCAAATCGGGCCCCTGTGAATCGAATCGAATCGGTTTGGGAAATTTGAATCGATATCCAGCCCACTCTAAAAACACCACACACGTCAGGACTATCTCATAAGATTATCTTTAGAGCTATCACAATAATCAAGGGAAAATTGGGTAAAAATTGGAATAATTATCTTGCCAGGCTTTAATATCACACTTACTCATTTAGACCACACGAAGAGAGGTTTACTCAACGGGAGAGGAGACGATCAAGACTCCACGCACCATCACAGTTAATTTATGACCAGATGGTGCACAACGCTACCAGCTAACCCAGAAGTCAGAATAAACAAAAAGATGGCAAAAGAGACATGCACTCTTACATGTGTCATCCTCCACCAGGCAGGTTTACAGCGGACTGCTCATTTCCTCCCACTGACCGTGGGATACGATGGATGTCAGAGTGCTGGCCTGCCGTCGACCGTCAGGTACGTTGTCACTTCACTGATAGCAGGATGGTTTCCTGGTGAAACGATCTCTGCCACATCACAAGTGAAACCAGTAAGACCTGGATCAAATATTGGACATGGAATCAGAGGGATGGCTGGTGTTGCTGCTGCTGAGGACAACTTCCACATCCAACTCTTCCTCAGATAGTGATTGGCTTCTTTGAATACAGGGGCAATCGTCATTCTGCTACAGATTTCACAGTTGTTTGAGCGTTTTTTATGGTATTCCTGCTAGAAATGCTGCAGGCTGCACAAAAAGTACCACAGCTAGCTGGTTAGGGTTAGCCCTAACGTATCTACAACAACAACCTTTCTACAAAACCCTACTTCAAAAGATCTCATGTCACGTTTCCAAATGACTCAGAGTTAGTACACGTTTGTTATTTGCTGCAATAATTTGGAGTGCAGATGTGCCAAGATGCTAAATCAAAAATGAAAAATTGACAAACCCATTTATTTGTTCAATTCAATCTTCTGTTCAGAAGTCTCTCTCTCTCCCCCCCTCACTGGTCATCATGGTTGATTTTGTTTAGGGGAATGCTTTGTGGCAGGCTGATTAAACACAGACTTACTCCCCCAACCCCCTACACTGGCTGGAAGTTGAAAGCCCAGTAAATGAAATGACTTCCACAGGATTGCACCACAGAGGAAGGGAGTGTGTCAGATGTGCATTCAGCCCGTGTCGTAGCCAAACGCAAGGTCAAACGGGACATTGAGTAGACAGTCACCGAACTGACGGTCTGGGGCAGGAGGATGCCGTTACACCCCGAGGCACCGTCTTGCTAAAGCGTGCAAGTGCACACAGACACATGTTCACACACGTGCGCACACGACTGCTCACCTTTTAGATGAGATGAAGCTCTGAGATGTTAATGGTTCTCTGATATTGGTCTAATCATACAAATATCATAGAAACCAAATGCATATAACCTCAATTTGACTGTTTGTTACAAAGAAATAACCAGGAAATGAAATAACTTTTAATCTCTAATCTAAAAATTATTTTTTAGTGATCCATTATAATGAAAAAACTAATTTTTTAGCACTACACATTCAGCACGGTGGGAAAAAACACAATGTCGAATGTAAAAAAAGCAGTGTGGCCCCTGAGGTCAAGTCTACTTCATACATTTTTAAAATGAGTTATGTGTTTCTACCACCTGTGGTTGTGTTAAAACGCTTTCTAAAGTGGTTTAAATAAAATTTGTTAAAAGTTAATGTGTGTTAGACAGAATATATTTTACATTTGATGACATAACAGCTTGTTTCATGCATGTCCACTATCAATTTACCACCTAAAACACAAATACAAAGCAGTTTTACTGGGTCTGCCTTGTTTTATCTCAATCTTGCTGTCATCAAGCTTTAACTGAGTGATGAAATTGTTAACTATGAGGACACTATTACAGGACTGTAGAGCTGTCACATGACGAAATTATTGTTGAGCTGTTTTTCATCATAAAGAGAAAATTCTGTTAAAAACAAGAAAGCTTCATCGTAAAAACCAAGATAACCATCTTGTTAAAATGTGTTACAGTTTTATGGCATGACATCACTTTCACAAATGTTTCATGGCCTTGATGGAATAAAGTGTAATCAAGAAACTTTATGCATTTTAAGATCTAAAATAAAATAAAAAAAGCAGGTTTTTTTGGTTTGTGTACAGACCTGGTCCAGCAGCATTGCAGTATCTGTACACTCTACCTGTATTCAGAGGGTTTCAAAACTGTGACTCGTTATAACTAGTTTTTCTCATTTTTATGACAGAATTTCTCATTAAAACACGATTGTTTTTCAATTTTTATAACAGTTTTATATTGTAACGTTTTCTCAATAAAAGGAGATACAACTCAACAATAATTTTATGTCATGTGACAGTTGTACGCTTCTGTTAACTATAAACTGTAAAGAAAAAGTCATTTCTTGATGATCTTTAGCTTGGCTAAGAAAGTTCTTTCTCTTGAATATGTGGTTTACATGAACTTAATCACCATTTATTGATTATTATTACGTTATTATTTGCCTTTTTGTTCTTTGGTTGATTTGTCCCATCTAGTGATGCAGCTTTCATGTCTGTGATTCAACCTGAGGCTGATTGATAAAAATTAGAGAAAAGAAAGATTTGGAATCGAATAAATGGGGTCTGAGTTTTCAAAATTTGCATATTTTACCTTGAAGTAAAAGTACTCACCGTCTCAACGGACCTGAATGTACTTTTTAATAAAAAAAAAAAAGTTGCAGTGAGCTCATAAATCATGTGGTTTTATTATCACTGTACATTCAGTGCATTTTCTTTCTTTTTTTAGATTTGACGCCCTCTCCCATCCATACACACAAAAAGCATTTATTTACACGATTACAGTAGGCATAAATACAACAAACAAACAAAAAAGAAACACAAGAAAATAACACACAGTACTGTCCAGCGAATCCCAGCTGTGATTGGATCAACTTTTTTTTTTAAATTTCCTTTCCAGAACAAGTGCGAATCCTCTCACCGAGCACACGTGGAAGTTTATAATTAAAATGCACCAAAGCTCCATTTAAAGTTGATTCATATATCACAAATATTGCTTTTAAAGGAGGGGAAACCTCTTGGGTAATCACATGTCTGTGGCGCGCACAACTAGCAGGGTCCTTTTATACACCGCGGACGATGGCGGCCAGGGAGGTACCTCCATGTTTTATGTAAATCTCGTCATCTCGGAGAGCATGGAGATGAGGTAAGTCCACAAATGGAGCAGCGAATAAGTAGCTTCCTCCTCCGAGGAATGTGCTCCCCGAATTGCAGTAAGTTCATCTACATTTTTTTTAATACCCAACTGGTGATGTCACTTTATTTCTGTGCCACTGGTTCCCCGGAGGATCTCGTGGCCCGCTTCCAAACCCGGTGTAATTTTCAAAATATGAATTGAGGTATAGGGTCTAGACGACTTTAGTCGCTATATGTTCTGCTTTGCTGATAATAACAAAAAAAAAAGACGGTGTGTGTTTCAACACTCAGACACAAAAAGGAAAAAGAAAGAGAAAGAAAATCATGTTCCAAATCCATTATTCCATCGAATAATACGAGTGGGCGTGTCGAAGGCCCTAACCCCCACACGAGCACACGTTAAAACAGAACAAGAGGTCACATCGATGCACAGCAGTTACAGTATAGTACAGTGACGTTTGCACAATGCATTTCTACAGTATGTCCACAACTAACGCTCTGATGCTCCAGGACAAAAACGAACACAGGTGGCCATATTCGCCTTGCATAGCCCAGTGATCGCTGCTTTATTACAGACACCCATCAAATGGCCTTTGTAAAGATTCAGACAAAAAGAAAAAAAAAAGAAATAAAGAAAACCTCCCAAACTTTAATAAAACCTCTTTCTTTCCCAAAGGTAGAGCCAGAGCCGAAATTTAATTGCTCTATTTCTTCGGAGAGTTTCAGTTTAGGAGACAATTAGAATTAATTGGATGTAGCAAAACTGTTTTAGACGTCTGGAAAGAAACTGGGATTTAAAAAAAAATAAATTTAGGAAAGGGAGAAGTTGGGAAACCATAATGAGCAAACAAGTGCAGGAGGTCGGTGTTCCAGTTTTGGTCAAGGTATTGTTGTAAAAGGTCTTTTTTGACTCCCTACAAGAATAAACTAATTTATTCATCTCATATTATATGTAAATAGCAAAATCAATCAATAGACTGAGCTGAAAAAAAGACGTTTGTCTTGATGAGTTGTAATCACCGTCGCAGGCGTAGAATGAATCAGCAACGTCCATATTTACGAGGAAACAGACTTAAAATGCAGCGTGTCAGTTTCTGTTTCATTTTGCTTCTAAGCACAAGTAACATCTTTCGTTTCACCTGTGGACAAATTAGCTTATTAAGAACTGAAGAGAAGCACCGAGGGAAATATATTCTCTGTGGTATTTGGTTATAATCATCTATGCATTACATTAAAGTGAATCAATATCATCCTTTTGGGGATCCTTAAAGTTTCTGGCCGCTTATATTTTCTCCTTATTTGAGCAGAAGCTAATGGCACTTTGCTTTAAACTGTTAACCCGGAGACAATTTCTGTCTTAATAAAAACCTCCTAAAATCAGCTGATTAATCTATGGTTATAGTGGATTATTCGATAACGTGCCTCATCTAACCTGTGGAGGTCATCAGAACTCCAAGTATTAAACTATAACAATGCACTTTCAGCTTTCTTTGAATAATTTGGCAACTGGTTTATAATCGCTAGATATTATGCTCTAAAACTCTACGATCACTTCTAGAGGACAACTTTTTTTGTTTCTTAGTGTTTTTACAATGTTTCTGAATAATTAGCACCATCATTAAAAAAAGTTTTATCTGAGCTGTAATGAATTATATTCCTATTAATGTTTCGATTTGGAGTTTAATTCTCAGAATAAACTGTTACACCTAAAATATGTTCATTGCTGGTTAATTTAATTAAAAATTCAACATTTGAACGCTTAATAACGGTCAAATAATTGTAAAAAAAAATGAAGCGTTATGATCAAACATGATTTATATTTGCACAGTTTAGGTGTTTTCTTGCTGAGCCTCAAGAATTTACCCTGTAGTCCATATTTTACACAAGTTTAAAAAATAAAAAAAAGTTTACGTGCGGCTAACATACAGACTTTGGTATGACAAATACAACTTCAACAAAAAAGCTAAAGTAATGCCTAACGCACATTTGCGTAATCCTCTGCAGACTGTAAGCAGGCGACAAGGTTTTGGGTCCAGGCTGGTTTCCTTTTGTAGACAGGGCAGACTGAGCAGGTTTTGGTTTCATGCACCTTGAAACACAATCTCAATTAAAAACAAAATGAACTGCATAAAAAAATCAAACAGAAACTGTAAACCTGAATGCCCGTTACACAAACGCTGACAGCAGGGTTTTTTTTTTGTCAAAAAAATGCAATCAGGTCTGAAAAATTCGCCAAGAAGAGTGAAATGAGCTCACATTAGGAGTATTGAGACTGAGTAAATAAAAATATACAGTAAGCATCAGTGGCAGATTACTACAGGTTATGCTTTTGATAAAATTTTAAGTAAAGTTTTCCATCCTGGTATCACTTAGCTTCACTGAAAGCTTCGAAAAATTAGCTTTGGCAGCCATTTAAACCAAATGTAATCTGATTTGTATAACTCCACATCTTTACACAAAGAAAGCATTAAATGAGCACCAGTGTGACAAAGATTCATTATGAAAATCATCACAAAGGCGACATTTACTGCATGGCTAACTGGTTGTGTTCAATTATTAATTCTTGGCGTTTATTTAAAAGCAACAGTAAATCACTTGATGTGGGGTCTTCTCACGATGTTGTGAACTCGTGCAGCTTGTCAAAAATTCAACACTATCTCTAAGTACTATAGTATATTAGTGGTTTATACCCTTTCCACAGAACCTCACTTCTAAATATCTGTTTCCTCAGCACATTATTTCTAAGGGTTTCACAGTAAATATGAGAATTCAGTGAAGAAAAAAAAAAGGCGGGTCAGTCTCAATGAGCAAAACAAAGAAAACAATAGAAATGAGTTTCAGACAGAGCTAGATTGTAAATTAGTCATGTTTGACATGTTCAAGATGCTAATTAGATGATTAAACCATGGAGTCTGTGAAGCTATTTTGGGGTATATACGTTAAAAACTCCCTCCATTTTCCTTGATTATTTCAGAATTTGTTAAGCAGTTCTTTCCTGTGCCCAGTGCCTTTCCTCCAGTTAGACTATTGCTTTAGCAAATGAGGTGAAAACACACGCCAGATATAGAAACAGAAACACAAATCGTGGCTACATAGCTGTACAGTTATTCTGGACATTTATAGTATCTTCTTCTTTTTAATAAATTAAAATAAAAAACAAGTTCACAGAAGCTTCAGGTGATATAAGAGCAAAGGGTCAGTGAATAGAACAAGACCTCGATGGCTGATTTCTGTACACGACTTGTCTATTTACACAACCGTCGTCCCTCGTCAGTCACGATGATAGTCACCCTTTTTAAAACTATTCGGAGTTCCCCTTTCTTCTGATTGGATTCGTTTTTCAAAGTGTTAAAGCCTTTCACTGTCAATTGGCACGCCACGGCTGTCCCTCATCTCTGACTGGATGATGCAGCTGTCCGTCAAACGCGTGCCTTGGATGTCAGGCCTTGGCCTCCAGCATCTCGAGGAATAGTTTGTGCATGGGCACTTTGCCCTGCATTTTGATGCTGTAGAAGTGCTGAACGGCCTTGGTGGCGGTCTGACGGAGCAGGGGCAGGGTCATGAGAAGCTTGCCCGCCCGTCGGGGGTCCTCGGGGTGCTGGGAAGCCTCATAGTCCTGCAGGGCCTCGTGTAGGGAATCTTGGAGCCTTTGGACGGCCTCTATGTTCTCTATATGCATGGAATCTGGACCGGGAGGAGGGTTGTGGGTGGAGGAAGGACACAAAGATAAAATATTACGTTGCAGGTGAACAGTTTATTGCATCATTTCATTGCAGACTTGAGGACATTTTCTGGTCTTACATGTTGAAATATGCAAACGAAGACCTATTTCACAGTAACAATAAAACATTTTTGTAATCTTTAGTACAATACAAACATAAGCAGCTGCGTCTACCTGTTTCGCAGCTGCACGCCGTGTTTTTGTTGAACCTTTTCCATTCCACAGCTTGTATGTGCAGACATGCAATTTTGGAGAAAGCTTTTCTCTTGTTAGTAGTTAATGATGTTCCTTAAATAAATGCGTGTGCGTGGCTGGGACTCTAGGGAGAGAGATAGGTACTGCAGGTCTGAATAAATATACATTGGAACGGGAAAAAGATTCATTTCTTTTTAGTATCGTAGAACGCGTTCATCCCCCCACTTTACTAATGAATTCAGATGGCTGCATTACTAGGATATCGTTCATCCGAATGATGGTGGCAGATGGCCTTCATTTCCATAAGAAAGAGCAGTTGGCCCCCTTATGTATAGGCTCTAAAATAAAACCAGTTGAGGCTTATTTAAAATTGCTCTCTACGTATAACTCCACATGTTAGAGGGAAAAAAAGGGCACTTGTTCTCTAAATGAGCTGCTGCTGGGTTTTATTAAGCTAAGGGTAGTTCTGATTGTCTCAGACTGTAGATTTATCAAACTCAGATTTTTTTTGTGCCGTTTTACAACTGAACAAATAAAAAACTCTGGATGATGAATAAAAAGTGGGAGTCATGTTCTCCAATCACTGCAAAAAATGTCCACCTAACCAAGTTTTAAAATCTTATATCAGTCAAAAAGTCTTTTTGATCTTGTTTTGAGACTGATTTACCAAACAAGAACTGACTGTGTAAGAATAATAATCTTGTTTTCAGAATGTGTAAGATTATTTGTCTTGTTAGCCTGAAAATTTGACTCAAATTAAGTCAAAAAATGTATGCCAATGCAGTAAGAAAATTTTACTTGGTAAGATTCTTGAAATAAGAAAAAACTGAGTCAAATAAAGTATTTCAAGTAAAATTTTCTTACTCCATTGGCAGAAAATTTTGACTTGATTTGAGTCAAATTTTCAGACTAACAAGACAAATAATCTTACACATTCTGAAAACAAGATTATTATTCTGACACAATCAGTTCTTGTTTAGTAAATCAGTCTCAAAACAAGATCAAAAAAGACTTTTTGGCTGATATAAGGTTTTAAAACTTGGTTAGGTGGACATTTTTTGCAGTGTATATTCAACGTTATAAGTTCCCAAATACCAGAGTTGTAAAGTAACTAAGTACAAATACTTTGTTACTGTACTTAAGTAGAAATTTTGGTTATCTGTACATTAGTTGAGTAATTATTTTTCAGTGTACTTTTTACTTTTACTCATTACATTTTTACACAATTATCTGTACTTTCTACTCGCTACATTTTTTAAAAAGGTAAGAAGTAAGTTGTTACTCCTATTTTATTCCAAGTTGCTATTACTTAAAAAATACTATCCTGATAAATTGTGTCTCCTGGATAGAGTGAATTTAATTGTGGTTGGATGAGAAGTATAAATATATACCATTCTGACACACTGTTAGTTTGTACACAACCCAACACAGCTGCACGCTGTTAGAAAAAATGTTTTTTGGAGAAGTCACCTCCCAATAAATGTCATTTTGGAAAATGTAACTGCTCACTTTTACTCAGTACTTTTACTTTTAATACTTAAGTAGATTTTGTATCAGAAATTTACTTTTGATATTTAAGTACAAAAAATATCAGATACTTTAAGACTTTTACTCAAGTAATATTTTTAGAGAAGACTTTAACTTTTACCAAAGTATTTTTAGAAGATACTTGTACTTTTACTCAAGTATCACTTTGAGGTACTTTATACAACACTGCCAAATACCTTTGTTCCCCATACTTACATTCCCTATTATCTATGTTCCGCAAGACCCATGTTCCCTGGTACCTATGTTCCCCAATACTTATGCACCTGAGTATTTTTGTTCCCAAATAATTTTGTCCTCCGGTACATATGTTATCCTCTGGTTAATACTGAAAGTCATGAAACCTGCTTGGCTCCCGTTTAAAAAAAAAGGAAAAAAAAAACTACTGAATTACAGTGAAGCTATGTACTGGGAAACATAGATACTGGGAAACGGTACCTACGTTAGCCAGTACAATGTCTGCACTATGTTTTAGTAGTTTTTTTTAAAGACATTTGACTGGGGAGACAATCATCTTTCATGGCTTTCATTCTTAATCCAGGAAGGACAAATAATAGGGAACATAGGTACTGAGAAAAATAGGTACCAGGGAACAAACGCTGTCGAAAAGTGAGTGAATCAGATCAGCTGTGTGTTTTAAAATTACCCAGTAAAGCTAAGACCATGTAAGAACATGTAAATGAGGCAGAAAAAAGGGAAAGTACAAGGCTAATTATGTTCCTAACTGACTGATTAAGTCTCTTTTACCAGTCGCCTTCTGTGTAAATTGCGTTTCTATCTTGGGAAATTAACTAGGCTATGTGGACCGCACATGTGTTCCGGCACTGTTCGTTGAAAACCTTCATGTTAATACTGATCTGATCCTGTGTGATCATGTGTGTGTGTGTGTGTGTGTGTGCGCAACAGACAGAGGGTAAGTTGAGGAGGAGGGTGAGCGAGAATGTTTTCAGAAATGTGTCAGCGCATGCATCTTCATGCGCGCACGGATGTTTAAGGCGTTTAGGGGAGGAACGCAGAACTAACTTTGAAGAAACAATTTCCGTGTAATCCGTCAGCAAGCCCCGACGTCGATCCCATCGATACTTTGCTAATTACAAAATCAATGGCCATGAATTTCCACAGCTGTCACGCCCACAGGCCCAGTGAGGCCGAAGCGCTGTGAGATTTTGTTTCAAACGAGTCAAAGTTGCCCTCTCACCCTCCCTGAGCTTCACCCTCTCGACCCTTCCTCTCCCACAGTCCTCCCTTATATCCGTGCCTTTTCCCATCCCGTTTATCCCTCTTACTCCCATGGAGTGCTTGTCATCAGAAGACTAAAAGCTCTGGGCTCAGCACTTTTTTTTTCCAGACAGGCAGGAGAAAAGACTCCTAACAGCCATTGATTAGTGGGGGGACAGGCCCAGCCACATGAAAAGCAAACTGTCGATACGGGCGCAGCTTCTTCACATTGGAACAAACGAGGCCCGTCGCTCCCCGACGCTCATTCCACTCCACTTAACACATTTTATTGACAGCCCCTGTTTTTCTAATGAAATGCTAAATATATCTCCCTGGGCTGAGGCGCACTGGCAGCCACTGTTATGGAGATGGAGGGAATGAGAGCGCGATGTGACAGTCGCACGCGCACCCACATGTATCTGCTCACAAATTAAAACTGCGTGCACACACACACACAAACACACACATCTGCACTTGTGTTGAAAGAAAAAGACCCACCGTTCTCCTGACCTTTACGTCCACTCTTATCAGGAAACCATTCTTATGAAAGTGAAGGTTCTAAGATACGGATCACCACTTGACAATTTTTTTTGTCCAATTTCTTTGTTTGTTTAATTAAACACCAACGGTCTAGATTCGCTCGAGATTTGATTTAAAGATGTAACCTTCAGGTCAAACTGTTGTGAATAAAAATGCAAGAAATTTGACTTTACTGAGAAAAAAAGGTTTGGCTTGTTCTCTATAAATCGTACATTATTTGGTAATGGTTGTAAAGTTTTCTTTTTTATGCTTATAAAAGTTTATGAGGTATACTGAGAAACAGTTTTTGGCATTGCATTTGAATAAATCAGCTTGCGCAGCGACAAATGTTTACTCAAATAAGGCGTGTTTTTTTATAAAGACAGTGGATCCATTTTTCACAGGTGCATCGGCACACTATCCATTAAACGGAGAGGAAGGAGTTTCTCTCTAAAACTACGTGTCAAACTCAAGGCCCATGGGCCAAATCTGGCCCTCAAAAACATGTTATATGGCCTGAAGGTAATACTTTAAAGGGGCAATATTATGTTTCTCAGGCATATATTTAAATACTATACTATAATAAAGTATCTATGTCACCTTTAGTTGTTATTAAAATGCTGTTTTTATGTTTAAATAGAAAACAAACTTATCTTCTCATCACCTCCTCTTCAAAACCCCTTGAAATTGGCCTCTGTCTCTTTAAGAACCACCTTCTGTTTCTGTCCTGCCCATTTCAGCGCAGGGGTGTTCGCGCGTGCGCTATGATGCAGTTTACTTGGTATCTGAAAATACATTTCCTCAAAGGTATTTTGAATCTGAAAAGCGCTTCACTGAGTGAGAACTAATGTTGAGAGCTCAGCAGACAGTTTAAGTTTCACTTTCACTTTGCTCTGTTACTGCCGAGAGCCTGCAGGAGTCATGGACGGGGTGTGTGGGGTGGGGGGTGGGGAGGTGTGCGCCGTGATGAGCAAGTTCGGCTTAAAGACAAGTCCCAGGGACGTTTCTAGTACCAAAAGGCGTTTCTGGTCCCCACCTGTCGTTTTGCTCCTCAGCATGTCTTCCTAAAAACGCTGCAGGATTTCTCAAACATGCATGAATGAGTCAAAGCAAGGCTTTGGGCATGTCTTTATGAGAGTGTAACATTATAACATGATATAAAACTCAAAAAAATTGATATTACATGATATTGCCTCTTTAAGAGTATTTTATGACTTCTTATTTTGTCTCTGTATTTAATACATTCTTCAAATGACAGCTGGCCAACTTTAAAACCAAGAAAATTAAGTTAGAATTTTTCAGAACTCTTCGATATTAGAGTGGAAAGAGTAACAGAGAATCAACTTTAATTGTCTTTTACTGTATTTTATTCTTATTTAAATATAAATTTCAGATGCTTAGTGAGGGTTTTCTTTTTTTTTACTCGATTTGCTGGATTGTGAGAAATTGGATCTCTAAAATATAAAACATGAAATAGCTGGAAATAGAGTGTAGGGCATAAGAAATGAATGCTAATGTCATGTTTTTCTAAATTTCTGTTAGGTTACGGATGTTCTAAATGCTGCATAAAACATCATTTTAAAAAAGTCATTTGTAATGCAAATAATTTTTATTTAACATATTTTCAATAAACATTGACAGAAATTGGTCCTTGGATTGGACCAAGTTTTAAATTTTGGCCCATTTTTTGAAACTCTTAAAATCTTTTATATGACTTATTTTTTTCTTGTTGGACTGTTTTTGTTGTTGTGGTTTCTAAATTGTGTTTTTATGCTTTAGTAAAAACATTTTTGTATTTATTTATCTTTATCTAATCCTGTTGAGACTTCTTTTGCGAGTGAGGCCTGGGCCTGAAGGCAACCTAACATGCATGTTTTTGATTTGTAGGAGAACACCGTAGAACCCGGAGAAAACCCATTCAAACTCCCCACAGAAAGATCCCAGGTCCGAATCGGAGATCAAACCCAGGACCTTCTTGCTGTGAGGCATCGGTGCTAACCACTGGTCCATCGTGCTGATGTGTGTGTACCGTTCTGTTTTTAGATATTGTCTGACAACTCGGGGGGGTTTCATGTTACCAGAGTTGGCGAGCGCGATGGCTTTGAGCGTGACGAATTCCTCCTTCTCCGTGCGCAGCTTCTTGTAGCGCCGCACCAGCGGCAGGATGGCGACGTGGAGGTCCAGCAGGCTGGAGATTCTCGCCTGCTCCTCGTCCACCACGTAGTCCTCCGCGTACACGATCTCGTCCTCGCAGGGCAGCGAGCGAAACACGATGCTCAGCACCAGGATCTCCATCCAGGCGCTCTGCAGGAGACTCATCTGGTCGGCCAGCGAGAGTGTGGAGAAACCTGTTGAAGGAAAATTTGTTACATTTTCAGATTTTCTTCCTCGGGGGGGCTTTAAACTCACACGGTCCAACTATGTGACACAGAGAGAGTGGCTCATTAACCTTGCGGCTCAGTAGGTGGCTAACTTGAGCCCTTCATACGTTTTACGGGCTACAATCGTCGTACAATCCCTGACCTGAAACAGGGAGCGGCGGCTGCCTGTGGTGGCTTAAGGGGAGAATATAAATCTGTCAAAAGGAGAGAGGCCTTTGAAACATGAGCCAGGGCTGCTTCAGCCATCAGCGGTCAATCCAAGCCAGCGCACATGAGACACCGCTCAGTCAGGGCGAACTTAACGCCTGCTACTTCTGACAGAATCTAAGATGTAGAAAACCCTACAAAGAAAAAAAACTATAAAATTATATAACTATAAAACAACTCTAAACCTCAGAGATGAGTGTTTAAGATGTAGGCAGGTAACTGGAAATAGGTTGTAGCGGCATCTAAAAGAAAAGTGGACAAGAAGAAAGTTGTAATGTAAAAACTGCAACAATCACAGTCTTTCATTTTTGTAGAAGTATCTGTAGTCACGTCTATTTTTCTCTTAATTTAAAAAAAAACATCTTAGGGGCCTGCAGAACTAACAATAACAAAAAAAGTGGGACTATATATCTTCACCATTGCTTCGTGTGAATTACCCTGTTTGGTTTGGGCAACTTTTTTTGTGCCAATAAGATGTAAAGGAGAAAAAAATATTTAATTTGAATTAATCTACATTTAAATTCTCACATAGAGTTCCATCCCTTAAAGTCAATAACATTTAATACTAGTGTTTGTTTAATAGAGGACTGTTTTTATCATAAGGAAAAAAAATTCAAAGAGACATTTATTTAAATGAGTTATATTTAAAGTCACATGTGAATATTACGAAAAGTACCCCATTACATTCATATAATGATGGAAGCACAATGGTGATGGATGGAAATGAAAAGCTTTTTATTCTGTTGAATTTACGTGTTTCAGTTTGATCCATTCTGTTATCAGTGCAACACAGAGAAGAATAAAGACAACATTAAAAAATGGAGAAACGTCTCAAACTTGTTGCCTAATAGAACTTTGAGTTTGTTTTGATTACATCATAAAGCTGAGTCAGCCAAAATACAACAATGATCAATATTAGTGATCAAGTTTCTTTATTATTATTATTATTATTATTATTATTA